CCTCCCTTCCTCACTTCAAATCTCTACTTAAAACTCATCTGTTCTCTCAGACATGTCACTCAGTGTAAATTGATCTAGTGTTTTTTAATCTGTGACCACATGTTTTAAATGCTTATTAATTCTTCAGTTATTATTATTAGTGTATTGTATATATATATATATTTCTCTTTAATTTACTCATTGACTGTTGTTGTTCAGCACTTTGAGAACAGGTTCTGTTTTAAATGTGCTCTGTAAATAAAGTTGACTTGACTTGATCCGTTTCCCGCCTGTAGCCTTTGTGTGAAGTTTGCCTGCTCTCCATGTGCACAGGTGAGTTTCCTCCCACTGACAACAAATCAAAATCATATTAAGTCCAACAAATGAATTGTCTTGTAGGTGGGAGTGTGAATGGTTGTGTCTCCATCTGGTCCTGTGATGGACTTGCAACCTGTTCTGGGCGTACCATGACTGCTTGAAAGAGACCGTGCACGGAAAAGCAGCTGAAGAAAATGGATGGATTTTTATAATGAAAAGAAAATATACTTTTTTCGCTTGAACGTAAAAAGATGGTGTTTGTTGGTTTAAAGCCAGAATAAATAATATGCATTGAAAGCCATAAATATAAGCACAATTTATTGAGTTTGCGGCACAACTATTCTTAACTAGTGTTACATCACAACAGTTTTCATTGACAGTAACACAGGAAAACACACAAAACAACAAGACAATCTACAAGCGGTTACAAGAAATAAGAAGTGACGAAAAACATCTGAGAACATTATCAAAACTTTAAGAAATGTTGGAAGTTTGGTCTCGCTCCTGTTAGGAGCTCAGAGAGCAGAAAGTCCCTCCTGATCAGAGCTTCGTCCAGAAACTGGCACGTGCTTTTTAGTTTTAGAAAAACATCACAACAAACCCATTATAAAAAGCTTCTACTGAGAGTTACAGACAAACAAAAGGTGAACGCAGTGACATTCAGTGGAACAGACCGTGCTTGTTCTTGTACACGAGGAGCAAAGTGACGTCATGAACAGAGGATTTGAAGACACTTCCACGTTCAAACTAAGCTCCAGCTTCATATGAACACAACTTGATGGATTTAGTCAAAACAGCATGTTTACGTGGTAAACAAGTCAGAAAACAGCTGTATGGGAGCAACTAAATATTAAAGTGGAAATCTGCCAAATTCAAGCAGATTCACCCCAAGTGGCACACGATGTTTCATGAACACTGCTTCCTGTTTCCGTCTCTCTCACAGATATGGACGTGACACAGAGACAAAGCTGGTGCTGCTGATTTTCACCAGGAAATGATCAGATCTTAAAAAATGTTGTGCAAGTCCTGCGTGGCTGGTTGTTGTGAAAGTTCTCAGTCGTACGGGGCTCGGCCGTCTCCGGGAGCTCAATGTGAAGCAGCTGGTTGAAGACATTTATTCCACTCATTTCAGGAGCTTTCTCAAATGAAATAAAATAAATCCTATTTTGTGAAACACTTAAATTATATCGAAAAGCTCCAAACAGAACATCCAAGTGAACTTTCAACAAACCCAGACAAACAAAAGTGAAGGTGAAAGCAAACGCATGGACAGAAACACACATGGACGAGGACACTGTCCATTTTGCAAGTGAAGCCCAGGTTCAGAGCGCGGACAGGGTCCAGCTTTAGTTCTACGCTTTAGTCTCAGTGAGACAACAGAGACCTGGTTCTGTGACTCCCAGCTGGTTTACTGCTTCCATCAGTCTAAAACCAGTCAGACTTTAAAATGCTTTTTGAACATTCAGCAGCAGTAAGAGCTTTAAATAAACTAAAACAATCAAACACTTGATAAAAACGTACATGATGAGCATTTTTACATGTTATTTATTTATGTGCAGTTGAAATCCTGTTGTCCTGCCAGGCTCTACGGGCCACTCGTCCTTTGTGGCTTCAGCTTCCATCTTGTCCACTTCCAGCTGTCTGTCTCGGACAGAGAAGACACACGGTTGGACGAAGGTGTCCAAGAGCAAAGGAGCACTTTGCTCCGTCGTGAAACGATGCTTCGCACACTAACAAACGTCAGGAGGAAGAGGAGGCAGCTCGCTGAACAAGAAGCTAAACGTGTTCACACGAGACCACCGGCTGTCTTCACGTGCTCAACCTGTTGCACAAAAAATGCTGCACACATTTAAATATAAATGACTTTGCATAGAGGACAAGTTGTGCACGTCGATGACGACGTTTGATGTGCACGGTGTGGATCATTTCACCACGCTCACCTAGACATGTGCTCATTTTGAAACAGAAAAAACTTCATTGTTGGAATAATGTTCCTACGAAATAATGAGTCACGGTCACGAGTCAAGAAACAAACGTGTCATTTCTGCTTCTTCTACATTTTGCACGGCCTCGGCCACGGACGTGTTCGTCCTGAAACTGGTCAGCTCCGTAACGAAGTGAAGCTCCTGCGTTCCCTCGACTCTTCTGTCTGTCACTGACGCAGCACTTTAAAGAATCGTGCACGGCGTGCACGCCTTCGGCCAACTTACAGCTTCGTGTCAAATTAAAGACAGCTTTTGGTTATTCACAATTATTAACAGGACGCTCAGATGACACAATACGAAAAGTGTAACGCTTGAATGCAGGAGAGTAAAATGTCAATCATCACATTTTATTTTCAATATGAAGAAATTAAAATGCATTTAACATACCGAGACAAGAAAACTTCAACTGTGATGGCGCAAACAGCTCTGGACAAAAATCATCGTCTGTGGTAACAAAAATTATTTATTGCTTGAAATTATTTGAAAATGTGAACTTTGTTTGAATGCAGCATCAAAAAAGTCAATAGTTTTTGATTCTATGCATCTTAGCACCAGAGCAATTGAATGTCATGATTCTTGATTCGATTGATTTTAGGAATAAAATGCTAATTATTTTGTTAATGACACGGTGGTGGACAACAGATTACCGTATTATTTTCAGTGTGAACTGTTGAATTTACGTGTTCATTCAAAAAACAAACCATCACATTGTTCTTAGAGTTATTAGACTAACAGAGTCCACTGCCCCCGTTTAATAGAGGAAGTTGCATTGTTGATTTACAGAACGAGCTCAACATTTAAAATGATGTTTTTCCCTCCAGGTTTTCTCCGGTCCACCCATGGTCACAACATTTTCATGAAACGGCTGAAAGTCTAAAGAAGCAGAGACTTTGATTCACATGAAGCACAAACACAACAGCTGATCCTCCCACGAGCTTCTCTAAAGAATGGACGTTGCTTCTCAACAACCGTAGACTCCGGAAGTTCCAACAACGTGTCAGGATGTCTGAGCACTTTACGTACGTCTGCAAACAGGTCTGCTACAGACCAGAAGCTCCGGCAGCAGCAGCGCTGGGGTCTACAACCAGTTTGACATCATCAGGATCGGAGTCCTCCATAAAACAGAAAAATCTTTTGTCTGAAACCGTTACTCAAGTTTTCAGCTAAATAAACAGTTACAAAGCTTTACAGTCACATGTTAAATATCAAAAGCTGTGAGTTAGAGCACGGTGGAGGTCACATTGTAATCTGGGAACCATGAAGAGAACAGTACATCAGTAATTCTTCAGCATAAGTCTAAACCATAAAGATGCAGATGGATGGTGATCCAAAAGTAGAAGAAACAACATATTTTACTACGCTCAGAGAAAATGACTGAAAATAGCAACATGTAGGTTGAACTTGAGAAACAAGATGCAAAATAAAAGTCCTCTTGCGCCTGCAGTTACATCCATGTTCATAATTAGTTCAAGACAAACACACACACAACAAACGTCTCATCTCAGCTCCTGATGGACACGTAGGACATGGACAAACGTTCAAACGGCTCTTTGTCAGGTCAAGTTTGGTCTTTGCTGAGACCTCGTTACATCACCGCAGGGCTTTTTATAGTGCACGATGACATCACCGCAGGG